GCGGGTATACCAAAAAATTAATAAAACATGTAAAAACAGTTTTGTATGCACCTTTTAATTCTGAACAACTCTACAGTTTTTTTCTGTAAAATGTACAGGAGGGCAGGATATTGCATAAAACTAATTTCCCATGATAAATCCTAATTAATAAATGTTCCTACTTACCGTGCACGACACGGTATACGCATAATTGGAGGTGCATATCATTCTAGTTTAAGATTCCGAAAGAATTATATTATAACGATATCATACCTAGAAAAAGAAATATGGTGATGTAAAGATAGAACGCGGATTTACTATCTCCGTTTTATCTTTAAACTTTATAATTAATTACTTCCAGTGTTCCTAAAAATTAACAAACACTATAATTTAACTGCATGTATCATGGACCAACTCTCATTGAAATTTTGTGGCTCTATGTTAAAGGGATGCGGAGTGAAAAAAATAAATAGTGGAGCCGCGCACGGATTTCCCATAAGCCGTAATGTATTTAGTGTGTTCCGAACTGACTCCTACGGTCACGTGACTTTTTCGAGCGCTCCGGCCTGTAAGTATTGTAGGCCTCGATACCCTCGATAGAGTCTTTCTATATCTATCTAGTGACCGTTGCGCCATCTGCGTATTTCTCATTGTGGTTAGATCAATTTCATCGATGTTGTTTCATAATTTCTTATTATTCCGCTAGAGGTCATCCGATTGTACCTTTCTATATTTTTCCCTCTTTCTTGATATTTCCGATCTATCGCGTGCGCCTAGCTTGTTCCTTTAAAGAAAATCAAGCTGTCGTGGTGTTCATTTGTAAAATTTTACTACGCCTTTACTTTATTTGGCTTATGTCTACCTAAAAAGGGATTTGTATCGGCTATTGTAATATGTTGCTGAGTTTTTATCTTTCTGGTGTAGTAGTTGATTTGCGCTATTGAATACGCTTTCGCGGATTTATATTCACAAGTGAGGTATATACTACCTAGAGGGGTTTGTCATCTCTGCTCCTTCTCTCTTCATTCTCTTTTCTTCCTGTTACTTCGTTGTTAGTCACCCGAGTATTACTACTTTCATCGAGAGCCGTTGTCGAATATTTACCTACCCCAAATTTGGATTGCATCGCTATTTGGAAAAATTATCTGACCGCCATCTTAAGATAGTCGTCTTCAGATGATATTGTTCTACTAATCTACATACGAATTGATTACACCTGAAGACCTGAATTACTCTGCCTGATTTGTAACTGCAAGTATTATATTGCTGTGTGCACTGATCCGTAGGCCAGAAAGGCTGTACACAAAACACCAAAACAAAAACCTACCTAACTCTTTACCTTTTATTATGATCACGGCACATAACTTCTCCCCAATACAGAGAAGAGATTCGACTCTGCTCTCAGACCTGTTAACTTCTAAACAGACTGATAGTGGGTCAAATCAAATACCTTAAACTCCAAACTGAACTGCAAAATTTTGAATAAATAAAATCGACCTTGGGCATGCATCCAGAAAAACACAGGTTAGAAATGAAGTCGTGAATTAAACACACGGAAATTAATGTGAAACTGACAAAATTGCGATTTAATCGTAACACACAAAAGGAGAATGGTACAAAGACACACACAATTATTACAAATAGACTAAAACTTTACGACAATCCTCTAGCCGGTAAGAAAAAAAATACTTTGGCGTTGTATACTATGCACGAACAAACGTAGAAAAATAAGTAGCCGCGAATTCGGCTTCCGGCTTTACAAACGATACTTCTTCAATCTTCAATCGCACATTGAACGAAAACTTTCGATGCTGGCTGTGGCTTCAAATGAATGATAAAATGGCCGTAATTCAACATGGCAAAAAGCCGAATTAAAAATTTCAATTAAACGTGGTTCTGCGTAAACTGTGGCTAAAAGTGACGCTTTTCTTGTTTACGTCCTATTTAAGGCGAATCCCTTCTTACGCTAATACAAATTACAACAACCAATCATACACCGTTGAAAACAAAGAGACAAACAAAACTATTCTAGCAACGCACGTTCTTAGGTCAATTAAAATAAGCATTTAAATTTGATAACATCAAGACCCAAAATTCCCAGAACTTCTACGTTTAAATAAAATGTAAACAAAAACATTGAAGCCAAATTATTACAGATTAATATTAATACCCAAATTCTGTATGGCGTAGATATTGTAATCGTAAGTAATTAGTGATCATTCTTCTAATATTTAATTTATTCTTTGCAGCCTATAAAAGATCAAAGTCGTCAAATTAAATATACTTGTAAATAAGAATCGTAATTAGGAGCATCCTAAATTATCTATTAGAGCCGCCCAAAAACTAAAGTATGTATTGCCCATGAAGTAAACGTAATATTAATTTTCTTAAATGTAGGGCTTTAACAGTTTGATCTTCTTATCAACCCATTCATGCAGTCCAGGGGTTTCATCCTGCAAGCTACCGTCATCATTTCCAAAAAGCGTAATTAAGGAGGGTAATTGCAAGTTGTATCAGCCATATCAGTTTCGCATAAAGGCCTTGCAGCGCCTTATCGGAGGAGGTCAGCCATTCCCGTTTAGCGTACCTGGAAACATCAAAACAGATAAGCCAATACTTTTCCACAATCCATATCACTTACGTTATTGTTAGACATGATAATTTTAATTACAAATCGGCGTCCATCCTGCAAGTAGAAAAAAAAGGAATCTTATTTATATGTGTGATGTTATCACTGTGATATTTATAATTTCGGTGAGAGTGAATGATCATTCGCTAAAGGTACCTATAAAGAATTATAATTAACCAAATAATTACTGTAAATACTTACCGTTGTCTATTAACTGCAGTATACTTATCTCTCATGCTAGTTGTAGGGTTGATGTTTTATTGTCTTGCCCGATTTACCTGCCGATTGGGTAATCACTAAGCAGACATCAGGCAGGTTGGCGCCCAAATTAAAACCCCGGAGAACCCCAACCCACCAGACCCAGTTCCCGCTTATCTTGAGCACCGGCACATCCTTACAACCCCCATTAAAAGGTTATAAATTTCTTCAGCTTTTAAGTAGGTAATTTTCCTCAAAGGGCATTTAATATGTGTCTGGTCCAGACGGTCCACTTGCCCTATATAAGTACCCTTTTCCGACACTTCTTTTTCGAGATATTCTTTTCCAACTCGCCAATCCCGTGATCCATTTGCATGGACGTTTTTTCCAGACGCTCTACCCTTTGCCATCCTCCGACACTGATACTCCAATATGAGTATTTATAACACATCACGATAAGGGGTTGAGGAGGAGGAATGTGGTTGGTGGTTGGTAGTTGGTAGGATGAATTCCTTTCGTTGTGACCTTTCAGTAGAGTAGAATCAGGGTTAAGTGCCCCGCTCCCCCCCCCCATTCTATTCCAAATTTTAACAAGAGTAGGAGCGAAGTTCTTTTGGCTGATACCTTTTGTGGTGTATGCAACTAATCATACACTAAAGTATTGTAATGTCTATGTACATATTGTATCAATGTTCAATTAGTCCAGTCAAATTGGCGCAATTTTGGACAAATAAAAACATTAATTGGTAAAGATCTGAATTTTGGTATACACATTTATTGGGACTTTCTATTGAACATACTAAAAGTCCCTGTCAAAATCTGTTGCGCTCGAGACGCCATCTTGGAAAAACGGTACACTTTTCCAATTTTTTGCCCATGTCTCGGAAATTATTACTGACACGAAGAAATAGTTTACATGAAAAATATAGTTTACTAAATTCCCTATAAAAAAGAGTATTTACATTTTTTTTGTATCTCCAGTACTTTAGCTGTAATCTCACGTTGAATACGTCAGAACGCGTTTAGGCCCCGTATCGTAGTTATAGAAGGAGGCGAAATGATTTCTTAAGCTGAAGAACGCCCTTATCTGCATAAGTATAACGTGTCTGCTAGTGAGAGATAATAGCCAGGTTGCGGACAGCATTTTCCGTTATGTTAGACGGCCATTTTTTCTTATAACATAAGAAATATAAATTTTTGTAGAAATAATTTACGGTATGAGGGCTTTTTGTACGATATATTTATAAATAGCGGAACCAATGAAAATGAAGTTCTTATAATGTGTCACTGCGCAGTACGTAATCACTCATAAATAACATTTTCCTGCTAACCTACAATTGTGCAGTGTTTATGTTGGCGGTAGTTCTTTTCTTTTTGTTTAAGAGCATAGCAGTGAACTTTGGACATTTTAACACAATGTAAAATAAAAGTGAGGTTAAGACTCCTTCAAACTTATAAGCAAAATTGAACACGCCCAGCACACACCGCAACTTAACTTTGCTATAAAAATGTTTTATACTTATAAACTTATATTATAAGGAAAAATGGCCGTCTAACATAACGGAAAATGCTGTCCGCAACCTGGCTATTAAAACCGACATCGTTATCAGACCTTCAGAATTACCTTGACCCTGTTCGGACACTGAAGGCTCCCAGTCCACACTCAGTGCTCACATTGAAGATGAAAGTTCTATTGAGAGAGCGTTTTATGAGAAACCTTATTAAACGTGTCTCATACCAAGCCTGAGTGCGACGACTTCGCACATATAAGAAATACTGGTAGAATTTTCAATGAATTTAATGATTTGTAAAAAGTTGTAAAAAATATCTGCGCCACTGTTTCGAGAACTCAGGATACTTGATTCCCTATTCGATGTCGGATTATAGCTAAAGTATTGGATATACAAAAAAATGTTAATATGCTTTTTATGGGCAATTTAATAAACTATATTTTTTATCTGAACTATTTTTCCGTATCAATAATTGTTGCCGATATATAGGCAAGAAACTGAAGTAGTGCTCCTTTTTTCCAGGATGGCGCCTCGAGCGCAACAGATTTTGACGGGGACTTTTAGTATGTTCAATAGGGAACACTAATGAACATGTGTACCAAAATTCAGATCTTTACCGATTAATGTTTTTATTTTTTCTTATTTGACTGGACTAAATGTGAATAATCCAGTTCGTATTTGACTATTAAAGAGACATGACATGGCGCAGTCACGAACCTAAATTTAATTGATAAATCAAGTTATATGAATGAAAATTGAAGCAGAGAAATTAAAAATGGACTCAAATGAAAAACTACGACCTATGAAATTAAGTGGAAACCTAGCCGAAAATTGGAAAAGTTGGATACAGCGATTCGAAATATATTCAACAGCAACAGAGTTAGATGGCAAGGACCAGAAGATCCAATGCGCACAAATGCTTCATCACATGGGTGAGGACGCCATTAACATTTTCAACAGTTTCACGTTTGCAGATAACGAGAAAAATAAAATTGCCTCCCTCAAGGAAAAGTTCGCAAATTACTTTGTTCCAAAAACAAATGTCACGTATGAACGCTACAAATTTTTTACTTCGAGACAAAATGAGGAACCGCTGGAACAATTCATCACAAATCTGAAAAACCAAGCTCAACTATGCAATTTGGGTGAAGAGGCATTAAGGAACGAATTAATAAAAACTATGTTAATAATTGGAATCAAGGACGAAGCTGTCAGGGAAAAACTACTACAAAAGGAAGACTTGACATTAGACAAGGCCATTGAATGTTGTATCGTAACGGAGAGTTCCCGCCAACAACTTCGAGACATGAAACAAAATACATCGTCACAGTCCCAAGGAGTGAACGAGATCGACAGCATTAGAAGGACCACAAGAACAATGGAATCAAACTCACGTGCCAATAAGGAGACGAAGTCACGGTTTGATAACAAAGACCAATTTAAAAAAGTAAGTAATTGTACAAGATGTGGTAAAAATCACTCAATTAATAACTGTTCTGCTTATGGTGCCTTATGCAATAATTGCAAAAAACCAAATCATTTTGCAAATGTCTGTAAATATAAATCACATAGAAATAGGAAAATAAATGAAATTGTTGATCATGATAATTACGAACAAAGTCTGTTGATAAATGAAATTAGTAACAATTCAAAAATTAATAATTGTACTATAGAACTGATTGTAAATAACAAAGTCAATGTGTTTGTCAATTTTAAAGTGGACACTGGTGCTAATGCAAACATAATTTCACTAGACCAATTGAAAAGTATTGAATTTAATGAAAAAAGCATTCAAAGATCGCATGAAATTTTATTAACTTTTACAGGTCAGAAAATTCCGATTGTAGGTAAATGCTATTTACATCTTAGACTAAAAGACAAATTAATTAAAAATGTTGAATTCCATATTCACAAAGGCAATGGGTCGATTATTGGTATAAACGCTTGTGTTGAGTTAGACATAATCAAATTTCACGAGGAGGTTAAATTAAAAGAAATTTATGCCATAAATAAAAATTGTAATTCAGGATACGAAAAGCTAATTAACGATAATTCAAATTTATTTAAAGGAATAGGGAAAGTAGGGATACCCTACCACATTGAACTAAATGAAAATGCAATGCCAGTTGTTAAGCCTATCAGAAATGTACCTTTTGCGATTCAAGAACAATTTAAAAAACACTTGAACGAATTGTTAAATTTAAAAATAATCGAACGAGTTGAAGGAAGTTCTGAGTGGGTAAATTCCTACGTCATTGTAAGGAAAAATAACGGTTCTCTACGAATTTGCCTTGATCCAAAAAACTTAAATGAGTCCATCAAAGATTCAAAATATAAATTAACAAGTTTAGACGACATAATTTCAAACATTAATGGTTCCACAGTTTTTACACTATTAGATGCTACAAGTGGTTTTTGGAATATACCTCTTGATAAGGAGTCAAGTAAACTATGCACATTTGCAACGCCTTTTGGCAGGTACAAGTTTTTAAGAATGCCTTTCGGTATAAAAACCGCTAGTGAAGTATTTCAGGAACGATTCCAAGAAATATTCGCGGACAACGGAGTGCAGGTATACATTGATGATATTTTAGTGCATGGTAAAGACAAACAGGAACATGACGAGCGTCTAAAAAACGTGTTCAGAAAAGCACATGAGCAAAATGTAAAATTTAACTTAAGTAAGTGTAGATTTGGAGTAGGGGAAATTAAATACTTAGGGTATAAATTCTCGAGTGAAGGGATAATGATAGATGAAGAAAAAATTGATGCTATAAAAAATATGCCTCAACCTAAAAATAAAAAAGACATACAAAGATTCCTAGGTTTTATCACGTATGTTGGTAGATTCATAGAAAATTTGTCAGAAAAAACTCAACCACTTAGGGAAATTATCAAACAAGAAAATTTATTTGAATGGGGCGAACCACAAAATAAAGCATTTGTAGAATTAAAAAATTTAGTAATCAAAGAACCTATACTGAGATATTATAATCCTAAAAAACCAATTACATGATCGGTAGATGCATCAAAATCCGGTTTAGGTGCAGTACTATTACAAGATAACCAACCTTGTGCATATGCATCACGTACTATGACAACAACACAACAGAACTATGCTCAGATCGAAAAAGAATTATTAGCTATTGTATTTGGTGTAAACAAATTCCATCAGTACGTTTACGGAACTAAATTCATAGTAGAAACGGATCACAAACCGTTAATAGCAATTTTCAAAAAACCATTAAATGCGTGCCCTGCAAGACTTCAACGTATGTTATTATCCTTACAAAAATATCAGATTCACCTAATCTACAAACCAGGAAAAGATCTGATAATTGCAGACACTTTGTCACGTGCTAATTCAAGTAAGACATTTGATGATAATTTAGATCTTGAAGCTCAGGTATGCTTAATTCAAAAGAAATTAATAATAACTGATAATCGGGTAGCACAGTTAGTAAAAGAAGTCAGTAAAGATGAAGAACTTCAATCAATTAAAAAATATGTAGTAAACGGTTGGCCAAGTATTAGTAAAATTCCAAGTAATATAAATCCGTATCATAAATTAAAAGCCGAAATAACGCTAGGTACCAACGGTTTAATTTATATGTCACAGAGAGTCATTATTCCGCAATCGTGGAGAAGCAAAATCCTAGACGACATACACACAGGTCACTTAGGTATAAACAAATGCATTTCTCGTGCAAAATCATCTGTTTATTGGCCTAACATGAACTCGCACATTGAAACTCTTGTAAATAAATGCGAGATGTGTAATAGACATGCGAACTCAAATAAACGAGAACCGATGATTTCACACGAAATAATTAAAAAACCATGGCAAAAAGTGGGCATTGACTTATATGAAGTATCTGGAAAAATTTATCTAATTGTAGTAGACTACTACTCAAAATTTCCAGAAATCTCGAATCTTCATAAAAACTTAACATCTAGTAACATAATTAACAAATTAAAAGCAATTTTTGCAAGACATGGAATCCCAAAAATAGTCGTTTCCGACAGTGCAAAACAATTCACAGGCATTGAATTTCAAAATTTTAGTAAACAGTGGAATTTTTTATCAATAACATCCTCTCCGCATCACCAACAGTCAAATGTACAAACGGAGAGAACCATTCAAACAATAAAAAAATTAATTAAGAAATCAACTGAAAATAATGAAGATATTTATCTAGCATTATTATAGCTTTCCGTAACACTCCTGTTTACAATTGTTATACACCATCTCAAATTTTAATGTCCCGATACCTCAGAGACAACTTGTTAATAATTGATTCAAAGTTAAATCCAAAATTAATTAACAACACAAAACTTAATCAGAAAATTAGTAATTCTCAATCGTACAACAAAAAGCAATATGATAGTAAAGGTGTAAGACCGAGACAAGATTTTAAAATCGGCACAGCCGTTTGGTATCAATTAAAACCCAAAAGCCTATGGAAAAGGGTAAAATAGTAGACAAACCTAGTAATACAACTTACAAAGTGCAGACATTAGATGGTAAGGTGTTAATTAGAAATAGATTTTATATTAGACAATGTCACACAAATAATGTAGAAAATAAGGATAAGTATTATTCAAATTTTGTATATGAATTTGATGATGACAATTTAGATTCACATCAAAATGTAATTAGTAATAAGGATAGCGATCATTCTAAACCAAGTGTAAGTGCAAGTGCGAGAGAAGCAAAAGACAAATTAGACTACCACCCGCTCTAAATGATTATGTTCTTTATAAATAAGGGAGATGTGGTGTATGCAACTAATCATACACTAAAGTATTGTAATGTCTATGTACATATTGTATCAATGTTCAATGTGAATAATCCAGTTCGTATTTGACTATTAAAGAGACATGACACCTTTAATTAGAATATTATCATACCATACCATCATGCCGATTTTTTAACACCCCCCCTTCTGATCGCCAAAAAGAGTCACGGAGAAAGGTTATAGTTTGTAGAAACCAATTTCTTTCGGTGAGGCCTTTCATTAGAAGCCCTCATCTTCCTATAAACTTTATTTTCAATAACTGAAGAAAGTTGAATCTTAAGGTCCAGTTGGATTCTGAAACGCTGCAAAATCTCAACACTGATTTATCAAAATCTTGAAGTACCGGAAATCCGTAATTCTAATGAAACAACACTATTAAATTTCATTGAACGACAAAACAGATTTTATCTTGATTTCCTTTACTTTTAATGGAATTCAAATTGACACATCATTTTCTGTGATCGCATACAAAAGAAATCATCATTATCACACACGCATTGTAGTAACACAGTGACATATATAAAATTAAAATAAACATTTTTACAGAACAAACAAATATTCTGAAGGCAGAGCTTCATTGAAACATTTTACCTCGTTACAAACGGTCGAATACAGAAAAAATAAGTGTGCAGATGCGATAAACGACAAAAAATCACTTTTCACATAATGGTACAACCGTGTTCACAAACCCGCTTCTTTTTTTTAAATCACCAGTAATGGTTCTATAACGATTGACAATGTTGAAATGGCAGCTAGGGTACAAACTTTAAAATTGTCGAAACACCTCCTCTTGTATAATTTTTAACTAAATCCGTGAACACTAACTTTAGACAGCAATCGGAATAGTTATTTACCTAACAAGTTCGGTAAGTTAATTTTCCCACATGAGCACTTTGTTTGCAGCACGACCGTAGGGAGTGCTGCATTTAGTGCGAATGCGGGAAAATTCTTTTTGTACTCATTGAATGGAAAGATAATGTTTCCAAGCATCCTCGATGCACGGGAAAACGACTTTCCCGCATCGCGGTGTTTTTTAGTTTCCGCTGGAGAGAAGGGGTTATGCGCGTTCTTCGGTTGGTAGTACTTATTGAAGGAAACGAACGTCATGTCATGGTTAACTGTCATCTGCTGTAAAATCAATTAAACCGTTGGTTGAGGGTATTTAGTGCGATTAATCGGAAACAGACGTACAGTAAGTTTTACGTAAATATATAAACAAGAACTTATAACGCAATCAAATTATTTTTCAGAATTGGAACTCAAGAAAAAGTAAAATTTATTGTTAAAACGTCTTAAAATGTGACCAGTGATATTCTGCAACTATTCGCATAGGTAGTTTAAGAAAGCACATATTAACACACACAAAGCTTCCAAGGATTTTAAATGTAACGAGTGTATTTACGCAACTCAAGAGAAATCAAATTTGAGAACACATTTGTTCACACATGTCTTCTGGGAATATTACATACGATCAGTACACTTACGCGACCAATAAGAGCACTCTATTCAAAGCATATTTGTTAACATTGAAGACTTCCAAGGATATTCAGTGCAAACGATGCAATGCCGTGACCAGTAGTAGCACTCATTGCAAAGGCAAAATATGTATTAACCAAAGATGTGGAAGTTTTAAATGTGACCAGTGCAATTAAAAGTGGGTAGTTACAAAATTATGTTACCAACCAAACATATGATTGTGTTACCAACTCATGATTTAAAAAAAACTAATTTACAAAACTATTAATTTTGACCTTTTTTTACGCAATTCGTTACAAAAAATATTGTACCTAACTCTTTCGGAAAGAATTTTCCCGCATTCGCACTAAATGCAGCACTCCCTACGGTCGTGCTGCAAACAAAGTGCTCATGCGGGAAAATTAACTTACCGAACTTGTTAGGTAAATAACTATTCCGAAAGAGTTAGGTACAATATTTTTTGTAACGAATTGCGTAAAAAAAGGTCAAAATTAATAAAGTTTTGTAAATTAGCTTTTTTTTAATCATGAGTTGGTAACACAATCATATGTTTGGTTGGTATCATAATTTTGTAACTTACCCACTTTTAATAATGCACTGGTCACATTTAAAACTTCCACATCTTTGGTTAATACATATTTTGCCTTTGCAATGAGTGCTACTACTGGTACGGCATTGCATCGTTTGCACTGAATATCTTGAGTTGCGTAAATACACTCGTTACATTTAAAATTCTTGGAAGCTTTGTGTGTGTTAATATGTGCTTTCTTAAACTGCATATGCGAATAGTTGCAGAATATCACTGGTCACATTTTAAGACGTTTTAACAGTAAATTTTACTTTTTTTTGAGTTCCAATTCTGAAAAATAATTTGATTGCGTTATAAGTTCTTGTTTATATATTTACGTAAAACTTAGTGTACGTCTGTTTCCGATTAATTGCACTAAATACCCTCAACCAACGGTTTAATTGATTTTACAGCAGATGACAGTTAACCATGACATGACGTTCGTTGACTTCAATAAGTGTTACCAACCGAAGAACGCGCATAACCCCTTCTCTCCAGCGGAAACTAAAAAACACCGCGATGCGGGAAAGTCGTTTTCCCGTGCATCGAGGATGCTTGGAAACATTATCTTTCCATTCAATGAGTACAAAAAACTATTTTTCTACTACTACTTTAGAATCGCTTCATACTTGCCATACTTTTAACAACAGAATGTCGCCTATTCTGTTATACTGAAGTGGAATAATTTCATTCTAACTCTTGTGATGGAATGAGCACATGTGGCGACATCTATTAATGATATCCAAATCACAATTCATAAACTGTCAAAATTTTAATTAAACTTACGCCAGTTATTTTGAATTTTAATTGCCTGTAGCGCAAATTAGCAGCAGTGGTGGTCCAATGCAATTTTCAAATACTCCCCCGGAAATCACCGCGGCAGCAGAAAAGAAAATCAAAAGCAGTGTAGGGACAAATCTTTGGAGCGGGGGATGAGGAAAAAACACACTTATTTTCAGAAAACGTAGTGTTGGCTTATATTATCACAGGCAATTAAAGCATCTACAACATT